AAACAAGATGCAGGTTCCTGGGCAGCGGTAGTTCCTTACTATCAGATGACTTCCCTGCTTACTTGCCCCATATACCAAAAAAAAACTAAAACAACTATAACCACAATCCACTAAATGACTTCAAATTGCCTCTAAACCTTCTATGCCACCACATCTATTACAATAGTCATAGTTCTGACTTTCGACTGACTCTCGAAAATGGTTTTTTTAATGAGAGTGTTCTGGACTCAAAAACTGATTATTTCTGTTCAATTTTCTCAAAAGTAATAATAATAATGTCTGTTCTTATAATAATATATCTAGAACTTATAAGTTTGAACGTGAAAGCTCTTTTCCATATATTCCCTTAATACTCGTATACCTATTTCATTTCTTTAATATCAATATACTTAAGAGCCATATTAAACCTATCCTTCAGCAACCTATCCTTCTTTTTTCTGCAAAAAAATATATCTGAACAGTGGTAATGGTGAGTTACTTCTTTTATACGGTAATTGAATAAAACCGTGCTTAATGGAGCCTTAGGAAACAACAGATATTTCCTCCGTTATCGACGCATCTAAGATACCATCAAGTGTAACTGTGTTAGGCTATACTATAGTAAAATATTTATTAATTTTATTTAATAAAAAAAGCTGTCTGTTTGTGTTTTGCAAAATTCACAAGTCATTGTACTTGTATTGTAATTTACCGTATTTGTCACAAAATTTTGCGTCGTTAAGTCAATTATAATGACCGCATTGTAAAATATTATTGTACTCTTACGTACGCGTTTTAAGTAATAATAAAACAATTTAAATGCGGTAAACAAGACCTATCAAAACAAATGAGAAACAACCGATCACATATAGGACAAAGAGCTGTAGCGGAAAAAATATTTGTTTTCTTCGTTTAGCTTCGTGCAAGTCTGGCGTAGACTTTAAATAATAAGGTATGAAAGAGGCTTCCTATGAATCTTTGTTTAACGTACTATAGGTTTTTTTAGAATTGTCGTAACTCATTCTTATTTGTCGTAGATTATATCGCTAACACTGAAGATTAAGGTGGGATAATTGATCACCATTTTGAAATTAGCTTGTGATTTCTAAACAATAAAAAATAAAACAAGCTGTTATTTTTAATGAAAACTATGTATTTTGCCCACATCATGATTAAGAGTAATAGTGATATCATTACATTTAAGCGACAAAAAAATTGCTGTACTGACTGACAAAAAAATAATTTTACCTAATTTTTAAGGGGTTTCAACGAACTTGTATCTCTTGTACTCACTTACTATTAAATGATGCTTGCTTGTCCCCTATACCATAAAAAGTCTTGTACTGTTAACTATAATCACAACCCACTAAATTACTTTCAAAATGTTCAAGAATTTGAACATTCTATGCGAAAACATCCATTACAATAGTTACAGTTCCGGTTCCTCCTTGCTTAAACTTTGCGCTCCTGCAACAGATAAGCCTGCAAGCTGAACGTGACTCATCCTCACGGGATTTCTTAATAAAATTTCAGAAAGAATTGTAATTGATGTGGTTTTAAGTCTTGCATGTTTCTTTATCAAAATGTGTTAATATATTTAATTTTTCATCAAATTGAAATACCAACTGTCGCATCATGTCATGAATTACAATTTAATCTGAATATATTTTTCGTGGATTGCTCCAAGCAATTTGAAAGGCGCTTGAAATAAATAAAACAAAATGTAATTATCTAGATAACAATATATTTTTGTCATCAACGACAAACTTAACAACAGACTACAACATAGATCTTCTCAACGAAATACCTGCGCGAAGTTTAATTACCTAAATACTCGTAAAATGTTTACCAACACATTGAGTCTAAGGTCGATTACATTTGTATACCACCAATTAACCCCAAGCTTTATAAACTAAATGCAAAATAAATGGACGGCTTACAATAATTAGGATAATAGTAAGTATGTTGTTATATATGAAAGGCGCTGCGGATTTTAAGGCAACTATAAGTAGGTTTATATATTGTAAACAGTCTACTAGCAAGCTGTTGGTAAACAAATCTTACATATATTTGATAAGAGCAGGTTCGTGAAAACAGAATAACATATATAGTTACAATATGCCAGGTAACCTAACACAGTTTGTTGCTAAAATTAATACCTTATCCTCTACATTTAAATTGCTTTTGGTTGACGTGTTTAAAACGTAGGTACATAAAAGATGAATTGACTCAAATAGAAGGGCGGCTTCGGAAATTCCGCCGCTCTTGCTTCACATACACTGTGTTCGCTTAAGTGTAATCATAAAAACTTATGAGTTACTTTTAAATATAATTAGGTATAAGTTTTTAAATTAACTATAATTATTCGTACAAAATATAGGTATTTGTTTCAGTGCACAATTCGTTTATATATATTTTGGTGGATAAAACAGTAATTTCAATAAAGGCGGATGTCTAAGAGTGATTGTACTTTTAAATAATTCACAAGTATTCTCAATCATGTAGAACATACACATTTTTCCAGATTTCGTGAAGGTACAACGTGGATAACTAAATTGGATTCATGTTTAAAAATATTCAATTAATGCCCTTTTTTAAAAGGAAAAAATGAATATTATCCATTATCAAATCCTAATTCTAAAAGCGTACTGTGTGATTAGCAACTGTAAACTTGCAATTGTAAACTGTATTAAGTAGTAAATAACATAGATATCAGAAGTGGTGACATCAACGACGCAGTGTCTGGACCAATGGCCAAAGACCATACTGAGATCTGTACATGGCTAATCGGAATTGTAAAATGCTTTTGGCACTAACTTTAATAAATATGTATAATATATTTATATTACAATACATTCAAATATGATATTTACAGCTTAGGATTAGATACAGATATATATCTATTTACAACGGTGACTTGCTGTGATAATAAGGGGTAATGAGACTGAATAATAGCATGTTACATTTATAATACAATATATGGGAGTATTACAAGTGTTGGAACGTGTACAATATCTACAGCTGTACATTATAATGAAGCTCTAGCAACACTCACAACGATACAACGGAGTACAAATTTGTACAGGAGCGTGGACATCTGGCACAGTCACTTCATAGATTTTAACCTAAATCCTCTCTTTTGTTCTAATTACAAACTTGACAAGTTGCCAAAATAGCTTCTTTTACGAACTTATAATTATTCGCTTAAGCAGTTATTAGTTGAAAAATCAGGCACCATCTTACATTTTCTGCAAAAAAATCTAATTATATCAAAAACTAATTTAAAACTTTCTAACAGTAATTTGAGTACATTCATTTTTATTTGAATCATAATGCAACTACAAACGAAGCGACAATACCGTATGATGTCCTAAACATTAACACTGACGATTCTTTATGGGTTCTAACATCTAACATTTGATTATATTGCACACATTCACTTATAACTACGTAATAAAAGAGTGGGCTAAAATCCCTCTCCGCCATAATTTCGTAAACTCACCGCTTAACTACCTGATGGAATGACATGTTTGACGCACCTTCTATGTTACTCTCGCTAAGCAAACTCAACGAAGCTATACCGAAGACGAACTGAACGTTTTAATGTTTTGCTAGACCAATGGATCAGAGAAATGGATAAAGTTACAATTGATTATTAACCGATTAAAAGGATGAATCTCGCAATAAGACAATTTTTTTATCTGTAGCACAGTATGTTTGTTAATGCGGACATATTTTAAATGTTCTTTGTTTAAACAGGTTAGTTCAATGAATATCAGAAACCCCATTCCCAATTGTGGCAATATAGCCAATAAAACTCCCAAGTGGAACGATTTGGAGGCAACAACGTCAGTTAAACCTTATTCAAGGTAATTCTTACTTTTAGAATTGAATTAGAACTGGAAAAAATTGTTCAATATTACTTAACATGAGGCGATGTATGATAATTATAGAAAAGGTAAATTGAGAGAAGAAATCGAAAGCCGTGAACGAGGCGACGTATTAGTCAGCTTGCTCAGGAGTCGTGCCTCACGCCTCTCATGGCAAGACACGCATGAAAGTTGGCCGAGGTAGACTGAAGAAGTCCGACACAGATCAAGCGGGCCGAAGTGGGATAAAATTTGCCGAAGAGGCGCGAGGCTGCGCGGAGTGTGCGTGCGCCGGCGACCGACCAGCGCTCCGGCCTGAAGCTTTCTACTAGTGACAACTACTGATGTGAACATGACTCGAGGACGATACATTACTGAACATGATATCTTCTCTTAGCACCTTTGCCGATTGAAATTTACTAGACTCGAAAATGAATATCGTAAGATCTATGCTATCGTCATTTCTTTTAAAAATCTAGATTTTTTAGTTTAAGTTTTAGTTACGGAACTGATCGATCTCTACCTCCTATAAATTTGTGATAGTTAATTTGTGAATTTTAAGATGAACTTATAGTAAACGGTAAAAGTAGAAGATTTCTTTTTTTTTAAATTCAGTCGCTGCCTACGGGTAAAATCGGATTAATAGCTACTTTCCTAGAAAACGATTTACAAAATTTCAGCCTACCCGAAGAGTCCCATTGCGTTTATAGGACCGATCCATAGTCACGTCAGGCAGAGTAACTAAACTTCTGTCGCTCCGGACTCGTCAGTTTGTAAACAATAGATCGCCTCCCTGTGCCAATTGATTCGTATAGCCTACTGGTAACCTGCTTCGGTTCGCCGGTTACGCAATTGGTCGCACGCGGTTCAGTATAGCCGGTACGTCAATGCCACAGACATAGATAACGCAACTTCAAATTAGATCTAGTAAAATCTTTCTTAGCCATTGTCGTGCACCTGAATCTTTACAATGCTGTGACGCAGAGGTTGCGTTATCTAGTTTTCCCTTCATCTGTGGTAACAACGCTCAGAAGAGCATGTGACAGCGCAGGTTGGAGTTGGCTATTCCGTGGTGTGCGCGGTGAGGTCGACCTGCGGCATCGCGCTGCCCAGCGCGGCCGGCGGGTCGCTGGCGGGGAGGGACAGTAGATGTTAGGCCTCCAAAAAAATAAGAGCAGTGGGCTTTGGTTCCAAGTTTGACTTCTTTGCCTCTACGACTAGAAACTCGATTTCCTGAAAATGTAATAATGTAGTGTTTAGAATCAAAACTACTAACTCATCATCATCATGATTAATAAAAACTACTAACTAAACTTGTTAAATGAAATTTTGAATTTTGAAAGAAATAAGAACTATGTAAGACATGGAAGATTTCTGACCGATCTACTCCATTAGTATGTACCGTATGGACAATTGCTATTACTGCACAGATAATAGTGTAGTTTATAACTACTCGTGAGTAGGGTCACAGCATATCCATGGAAAGGGACAAAGACTTGCTAGAATACCAATTACACTGCTTATTTTGTATCGTCTGTAAAAGATTTTCACTAAATTGAAATGAGGAACCCATTAATAAGGTGATTAATTTAGAAATTTGATCAAACTTTGATAAGAAACTATGATTTTTTAATAAATTGACACCTCGTAACACTTACCGGTTTATCTCTCTGTGCGAAGGACTCCGCTATTAACCGCGCTACATCTTGATGCTGCAGGCCTTCCACTCTGTGACCATCCACTGCCAAGATAAGTTGACCTACTTCCAACCCACCAGCTTCGTAAGCCGCCCCATGCTCCTGAAATTTACACCAACAGAAAGTTAATGACGTACAGATGATTTGAATTTAGTTTTACTTCCTTTGTGTAACTGTCCTTAGATCATGAGACTTATATAAACTGTAATATTATTATTTCTTTTGTACAATAAAGAGTTATCTATCTATATATCTATATATATAAAAGAAAGTCGTGTTAGTTACACTATTTATAACTCAAGAACGGCTTTACCTATATGGCTGAAAATTGGTGAGGAGGTAGCTTAGAGCCAGGAGACGGACATAGGATACTATTTATTCCGTTTTTTTTTTTTTTTTTGTATCGGCGCCTATCACCAGATGACAACGGTGGAACTGTCAACAACAAAAGTGAAAAGAATGGATTTCGTTGTCGACAACAGTTGGATTGTTCCATATTCGCCACTTATTTCTAAAACGTTAAAGACACATTGCAACGTTGAGTATTGGTCGGAAGACCATCTGCGTTGTTGCGCCTGATAAGAAAACAAAAAATGTCGTGTATCACAAGGTACTTAAGTGAAGAGCAACCTATGTACTGAAATGCAGAAACAATAATAAATGATTAATGTACTTCATTTTTTTTCTAAGAAATAAATTAATTATTTTTTTAATTATTTATTGCCTTTAAGGCGGAACAGAGTTCGCCGGGTCAGCTAGTTACATATATAGATAGATAACTCTCATGCACATACATCTCCAAGTTATCGACTGTGAACGTTTTAGCGTGTCAAGTTCATTGTAGAAAAGTTACAAGATTCATTCTCATGGTCGAAAATAATCTAAGTGCAGTTATCAATTGCACATACACGAAAACTTTGAGCTTATTCTAAAATTCACCATGATCTGGTTTAACGCACAAGATTGATTCCAGATCAGGGAGGTATTCTATAATGTAACAAAATCGTGATTTTTATTTAATTCAAAACATGTGAAATTCCTTTTGGTGTATTTATATAAAAAGATTTCAGTTATCAGTTTCAGTAAGTAGTGCGGTAACTATAAACGTCAATCGTAGACTGGTTCCACTCCACTGAGACCTGTACAAGGGTGACATAACGCACCTTGAAATCTTTCACACGAAGCATTTGAGGTACATTCTACGCGTCATTCTACGTGTTAAATTACAAGACCGTGTCTCCTCATACTACATCCTACGCACAGATCGCCATAGCAAAGTTCGCCATCGGCGGATACGTCAAGGACATCATCATAAACGTCAATCTATAGGGAATTTAATGTAAGTGAAACTTTTAGTAACATTGCCTGATACTTCAGCATCCTAGTGTCAGGCAGTTATTTAGTTAATTAATGGCAGTCTGACTAAAAGTTAAGAAAAGTCGTACATCCTTTAAATTCGAAAAGAGATATAAGCTAATAACTCCGAGACAAGGTGCAGCAGGACGCAATGCTATAACAAAAGATGATGATGATACATGATGACAGTACGTGACACTTCATCGTTTATTGTGGAACAGGTCGAGATCTACATTCTTGAAAAGAGTGAGAAGAGGATTTTGCTTCTATACTCACATGTATGTTTATTATTCTAGGCAAGGGATGCTTCGTGTTCGCACCGCCCTCAATCGCAATACCTAGTATGGGTTTAGTCTTCTTTACGGTGATATGAAGGTTCCCATGGTGGTCGGACACAACGCGTGCAGCGTGTGCTTCGTCGTGTGCAGGCTCATGGCCAAGTCTTTGCATCGACTGATGCCTCCGGATCCCGCCTCGCTCCTCTAGCAAAGCACCACTGTCCTCCTTCATGTCAAAACTTCGAGACAAGTTGTGGGCCAACTCCTATAAAAATAAAGTAGTTTACTTTATTATATAAGATATTTTAAATACTTAGATTTAAGTTAAAAATATTATAAATAAGGACGTGATTAAGTAAGTGTTTACACGAGAAATATGAATTAAAAATATTGAAATATTATGAGCTTCTGAACTCTTAAATCCTAGTAACTAACTATACACATCCACAATAGATATCTTTACTCTACTATGCTAATATGTAGCAAGTTGAATACAGCCTCTAAGTACAAGTTAGTGCTCTAAGAATATTGAGAAGATATGTAGCTGGGTGGCAGAGGGCAGTAACTCAGCGAGGACGTGGTTTAGCCACGTACACGGCGACCCGTACACCGATACTACCGATTGGTGGGATTATGTAACTTGATTTACGACCTTGTGCCTCTCAGTTACAACAATGTACAGTGAGTATTTTACGTCGAATGTTTTGAGAAGCTGTAAGTGAGATGTGTGCTAGAGGCTTGGATTCATGCGTTTCGATCACTCGGTGGCGTGGTTTAAAGTGGGTATATTTTACAAGTGTTAAAATGTATTCATGGAGAGAGTTCTTATCCCGTTTACCTACCTGAGTAGAAAATGATGTATAGATAACTATAGCAGTAACCAAAAGGAAAATGAAAATGCGTTATCGAATAAAATAATTCTACAAATAAAATACTTAAAAATCTAAATTTAATGAAGATTTTAACCGCGTTTTGGTCTTATTACATTTTTACGCCACCATGCTCTAGTTATAACCAAAAAAAAACAATTGTAACCAAAAACAAAATAATTTGAATTAAACACTATAATACTGTGACTGAATTTTGGGAAAATAAAGAATCGTGGTAAGATTATCAATTTATACAAAATTTTCATGCAGCACATTAGCTCGATCCATTCAAGACAATAGAAGTATTTTCTACAGGCTAATGATTCAACCGATATGATAAATCAATCACTGAGATGTGCGTCGCTACTTTCAAATAAATCCATAAATGAGTCAAATAATATGTCGTATTAATAAAATTAACACCGAAATGAAGTGCAACGATAAAAAGTGAAAACATACAATAATCGAATAATCGTCTAACACCAAGCAATCGTTTTGTTTTCGAAGCGAGAATTTCCAATAAAAAAATATTTTTTTTTGATTTCGTGCAAATGTAAGAATCGTCAATGTGCTAGGACAGATGGCTGGTCATTCCGGCGGCGAGAGGCCGGGCCACTTACTAGAGGTCGTCCCCAGTACCAAGATTTTACTTTCTGCGTCCAGCCACCGAGTGATGAGCGCAGCCCCTCGAGATAGCCGCACTGAAACATCACACTCACTCAGGACCAGATCGTTACCCGCCAATACTCGACTACAAGCGAGTACGTTCAACACCTAACTCTCTGAGTTCACCGCACAGCAAGCTGGTGTGTTCTTTGTCATGTTCAATGTTATAGTGACTGTTAAGCATCTAGCATAAATCTAGCTGTAGACAGGTACGCTATAGTATATACCCTACTTAATAGATCCAATTCAATTTGATGCAAAAACTCTACTAAGTCATTTCACAGAATTACCTAATCTGCATAAGGAGTTTTAGATAAAAAGTACTATACTTAAGTAATTATTGCATTTATCAAAAGAACACCTAAATAGATACTAGAAAAATTACAAATAGGTAGGTACTACTGTTGCTAGACATCTACATAATATTACATTTAAAAGTATGTAAAAGTGGAAGTATGTTTGCCTATCCTTAACTAATATTGTTTACTAACCCCTTAATTGTATTTTAAGAATTGTAACAGCTATTAATAATACCACAGGCTGGTCTTTATTAAAATATATGTTTTTTAATCATTAAAAAGACAAAAGTACATACCTGGTCCTAACGTAGGTTTCATTAGAAAGCATGAAACAAAAATTATAAAAAAATACATTACCACAATTCTTTTCTATAAGCCAAGCGTGAACGCGGTTGCAACTTTCAAGAATTGCAACATTGTCTCTTCTATTGTTTATATTGTGTATTTTGCCAGTCGCGTTAAGTTTCCATCAATTGTGCCGTCATTTCAGATATGTTAACTAATTCTGCGTTTATTAACAATATCGATGTTATACCACAAAGAATAGTTCTTTTGTTTGTAGTTCAACAGGGTTGCAAATTTTGTAAGACACGTAATGATATTGTTTAATGATAATAATAATACCAAACCATTGCTCATCATGGTGCATATCATGTGTTACGAATCGCTTGGTTGCAATATTATTAGTAGTAAAAATCTAGTCGCCAGATCTGAGACCTAGTGCGACATGTTGCGTCTCGTTAGCGTCTTCTATAAATAATGAGATAACATCGGCTGATGTCGACCGACACTGTCTACGATTACAGGCTGCCGGTCGGCCTGTCCGAGTGTTATCTATACATGTTTTAGTATCGCAAATTCTGAACCTCATTCCGTTAAGCAAATATTTGTTGCTGACACATGACGCACATGAAGATTTATTAGAATATTTCATTAATAAATTGAAAATCAATGTAATGTAACAATGAGGGTGCGTATATCTTAACAGTTTTGTAGACGGTTATACTATAGGTATAGTTGATTGTTATATGTATAAGTTAAGTTTTGTTGTTTCTAGATGTCGTGACTGCACGCCTAAACGACTGTATATTTTTATATTCTTAAAGCTCACGTTGACCTTTCATGTATTTTTTTTGTAGGTGCACGTTTAATTTAATCTTTATTTGTAATCATACGTAATTTACTTTCATAGAATGTAGGTAAAGTCCGTTAGAATGGAGGTTACACACAGATTACAGATGAAAGTTTTTAGGACGTGACGTTTACGTCTGTAGTGGTGTTATTAAGTAAACGTGTAGTTAGCTGTTGGTATAAATGGCTTGACACTGCGCACATCTTGCTATATGTCCTACTCGTCCTACTCACAGTTTATTGAATATATATATGTTTATGTTCAGTGCTTCTTGATTATTGCCAAATGGTGTTTTAAATTAGATCGCAAAAATTCTAGACTTATCATATATTTTTCATGTTTAATAAAGTTAATTTAATAAAGTTTAATCATCACATAACGTAAAGGTACGAAGGTCTTTCCCTTATAGCTCAATATTTAGTCAATGGTGTAGGTCATGTTGTCCGGAAGAATTTCGTATCAGCCTGAGAACGATTGCTTATATTCTCTAATAAAGTTTTATACATATGAAAACATACACCAACAATCTTTATCAACCCAAATCATCATAAAACCGGTAATTCTGCTTTCGTTGAAACAAGATTGAAGAATGGTACAAAAGGTGTCGTCCCTTTTGTCATCTTCCCTCAGATTTGTTACTTTTATCTTTTTACTACAGTAGCGCCTTACTCGCTCAATAGAAACAAGTCTAAAGGGTAAACAACCCACGCTTTAAGGTAACTTTTTCCAAACCTACTACTACCGACACTAAACGACTGAAGCTTTAAAATACTTTTTAATGTAGAAACTTATTAACAGCCCTTTGCTCCTTTTGGAGTAAATCTGCTGGTTACCATAAATGTATGTTCAAGTTTTACATCAGAATTATATAATTCCTTGCACAAAAATGGTAATGCTTTTAGGCTTCTGGAAACGCTACTTGGATTGGACGCGATTTGGAGAAATCTAAATCTTAAATACATTCATGTAAATAATCTGTATTTTTATCATATACATATGTGTATGTAAAAATAAATATTTTAATGTGTAAATACTAAGCTACAACTAACTTACTGTAAAGTATATTATTATAGTGTATTTAACTTAGACTTGCCAGGTTAATAGGGCAATAGTAATAGGAAGCCTAAGCTTAGGCAACCCCGGATCTATAGGGGGGCAAACCGGGGCACCCGGCCAGGGCGCCAGTTTCAGGGGGCCCAAAATCATAATGTAATGCAGTTTAAAATAAAAACTTGCTCAACAAATCGCCTAGCATGCAGCGCACGTTAAAAAAGTTATTGAGTGAAAGATATTAAAGAGTGCAAATTTATTTAAGAGTTCTTATAAGAACCAATATATTATTGTTATGTCCTAATCATGAAAAATAACTTTTATATATTTGTTAGTTTTTTAGGTTATTTATTTCAGACGCTGCAGAGAGTATAATGAAGTTTCTGCGCCAACTTGAAAAAATTGTGAGCCTTAAACTGAGACTTAGATGATTGTGTCATTGTTACCATGTGTTGTTAAAAAAACAAACGTTAAAGAGATAACGATGTTTATTAACTTTATATCGTCACTGCTTATATGTACAACATCAGTAATATATTGTAAACATTACATCAAAAGCCCAGGACCAGAATATATGTAGAATTATGTTCATGTCAGTTACAATAGTCCCTAATCAAAAGGCATTTGTTTCAAATACTATTTCAGATTGTTGTTCAATATTTAACTAGCATTCTATTCTAATTATGGATATTCCCTAAATCAGTGAATCCACCTATACATATTTATTACTAAGAATCAGTTAATTAATCCTACTAATTAAATCACAAAGAAAGCAGTTTCCCGTAAATAATATAGTGTTTACGAGTTGTATATCGGTAGCCAGTAAGTTAGTGCCACACACGTGTTCAAGCCTTATACACTCGTATTATATTTCAAGAACAGAATGTCTGTAATTTAATCAATCGAGTCGTTTAATCGATTAATGAAGCGTTATAGGTAGTAAGTAAAAGTGATGTTAATGGCAGCTTTGTTCGATATCCGAGCGGTTTCACTAATAAGGCGTGTCTTTGTCTCCGCGGGCTTTCATGTTTCAAATAATGCAGTCTTCTATCAATTGGTTCTACATTTTCTAAAGTATTTTACCAGTCGATAGAGCTATAAAGCTTATTATTGACATAACTGTATTATTGTAGGGTTGCCCGTGGTATGAAAAGAGAAAAGGCGATATTTATGCATACACACATATTTGATTTAAAAATAAAAGTTTTGAAAAATAATGAAAACAACTGATACATTTCACACATAACCGACTGATCCCAAACTAGGCAGTGTCTGTACTATGGTGACCTGACTTCTGATAAACGTAGTCATATATTTCTGAATACATAACTATAATAGATAAACTACACTGAAAAAATGTGTACTTTGTGGAAATCGAACCTACGACGCGACGTCTGACTTAGATCATGATCAGCAACTATAATTACTAGACCAGTTAAATTAATATTACCGAGTAGTGATTTTTTTCTTATCATTTCACCTGACCATATAATAATACGAATAGTGTCGGTAATTCCTAATTGTGGTTTTAATTGCCAGTGTATACCGACTAGCAATCCTAGGTATATACCAGTTAGTAGTATACCAAACAGTTATTTTATTTTATTTTCCAAGAAACTTAAAAATCTTAAGAGTTTCCATCTATCTCAACTTCATGAGATAAAAACCCACCCTCTTCGATTTTTTAAATAAGATAGGCATAAAATTTAAAAATAGCTGAAACCATGATTGAATATGACGGGCAGTGTGATTTGGAACACAGACAAAGACGTTTCTGTTATAATTAGAATAAAGAACAACTGATCGTTGCTCGCCAGAGACCCTAACGTCAGAGTTATCTTTTGAATTTATATATCGGTTCTTGATGTTAACAATAACTCAATAATAAAAAGCATTTGTTAAGAAAGTGGGCAGATTATTTAGAATTATATACTCAGTTAAGTTTTTTTTTTAAATTTTGATCTTCTGTTGTTTTCATGTTTATAGAATTACGCAAAAGGAAACGCCGATGACGGTTCTCGAATGTCTATGTAGTAATCCAGGATACAAAATCTTCAGTGGTAATTTAATGGGTGTTAAGAATTTAACAGTTTTTCGGACCACGCTTCCTATTTTTGCTTTACCTTAAGCACCATGACTCGTTCGCGTTGTCTCATTATTGGGAAAGAGCGATGTTCTTTACCAACTAATATAAACATATTTTATTTCTAAAGACACGTCACAGTTTGATAACCTTCGTGACACATTTTCGTGCTTGTGAAATAATTTAAAAATAATGGTATTAAATTAACCGATCGGAGTTTCCTTATTTTTGTTTCATAATATTATTTATTTAATATCAGATTTTCTGTCGTAGGTACTTATTGAATATTAAACTAAGAGTAGGTGTTTACTTAGGTAACGTAATTCGAGAATTGAATGTAAATTCTTTTATTTGTTTACTGACATTCAATTTTTTTATCTCTGGTTTGTTTTCCAAATTGAACTTGTTAAAGTATAACAGCATAAAAGAAAAATAATTATGTATAATGATTTGAAACTTCTTGAGATTTACATTACATCTAGAATTTTATAAATAAATTTAAACAAGCATAGGTGACTTTTAGAGTGAAGTACTCGTTGCTCAAATTTAAAATGTTTTTTAAACAATATAATTAAGTTTAAAGCGGCGTGTTGTGATTGAAGTTTTAAAAGTATAAATAGTATTCAAGAAACATGGGAATCGCAGGTGGTTGGCTTGATTGTTTCCGGTTTGTCCAGTTTTCGTCTCATGTCCGCGTGGGAACTAACGGTGTGTGGTGTTGAGACGATTTGTCCATTAGTCGTTGTATTTGATTTTACGGTTAAAGAACAGACGTTGTTTTCTTTATTAATAATAATTTTCGTACGTTTACACTCAAAATCTCTCTCATTTCTTTTTTATATTCAAAAGCGTGTCACTTTAAACCATATCCACACATTCTTTTTGTAATAATAAAAAAGAGTAGAATATGTAAGAGTAAAACACTATACCATTGTATTTCACGATTATTTTACCCATTAATCTAGAAAAAAGAGATAACAAGATTAATTAACAACGTAAGCTAAAGCTGATTCCGAATTGCACAATTATACCTACAACTTGCTTAATTTTATAGTAGGTATAATGTTAAATTCCCATCGCTCCTTCACCTTATATGTGTATAACACGTTTAATCGTATACGATAATGGGCAAGGATAAGTATCAGCCACGACTTCCTCGAGGTGTAATTATGCGCATCAGTTTCAAATCAACTAAAAATCGCAGCGGGATAATAAGTTGTGCTTTTAGAGCTGACTGAATGCTGAGTAGTCGAGTATTAAAGTTAAATTGTTTCCATTGTTAAGTCTGTATGATTGTATACTTTTATAATGCACCTTATTACCTTAGCACTTATATTACTATATCGACATAGATAAAATTGTACTTATGATTTATTCAAGCACTGATTTCCAATTATTTACCTAATTACTTAAGCAAGCAATAAGTTTAAGGCTACAAAAGTAGTGATAGATTTGACAAAAAATGTACCATTTGAAAAAGTATGAATTATCATACCTAGCTTTAGTTAATTAGAGGACAAGAAAGATTATTTTCAAGAACACGAAAGGACAAGGAAGGTTATTCCTTCAAACAGTCATAACATACATGATGACGCCGCTTGTTTCTCTTTTCGACCGACTTTAAAAAGGAGGAGATTATCAATTCCGATGTTTTTTTTTAAGTATATTCAGGAATGTTTGTCATATATAGACGGATTTTCAAAATCATATTTTTGTTCGAAATAATTCCGAAATGGTTCCATTTAAATTTCATATAGATCTGATGATGAGATTTGGAGACACACAACGGAACTCTTTAAAAAAATGACAGCAAATCAACCGCGATTGCTGCTAAGTTTTTAGTGCTCTTTGTTAGTGTTGTTTGAAGTCGGTTCAACTTTTTTTCAAGGAATTTTCTTGTGAATTTAAGGTCATGATTTTTTTAAATCAGGAAAGTGCTATTATATATTTATACTATCCGATTAATATTTTTGAACAGAAAGTGTTCTATTCAACGCAACCTTAACATTTAACCTTTGCATTATCTAGTAGTAATGGCCTCGTCACACGCATTTGCATTGTCAGATCATAATTATAGAAAGTAATTTAATTCTCTCATAAATAACAAAAATACTAAAACTAGAATATCTCAGAGCGCAAGCAACAAGAACTTAAAAGTTCATTTTAGTTCATTTCTTCGGCGATGAACATAATTTATACTTAGCCGCCGATATTGCTAAAAATAAAAATTGAGAAGAGAATATTTAAATATCATTAATTAAAAACCAAAACTTTAATAATAATAACTTAACACATCTCAAACACGGCCGTCTAAAGGCCAATTCTCGTAATAAAAGTTCGGTCAAAATTTAGTTCCGATCAACTCTCAAACTCGCAACTGTCATAAAAGGTATTTTCGTAGTAAAATAGTGAAGTATTACTAAGACTAGCAGATAACCTATTAAATTTTCGGTTACAATGCGATAAGATCACATTACAGTCAACGTTGGATGTTTAATACTTTACTACGAAAATACCGTTTATGACAGTTGTGATATCGAGAGTTGATCGGAACTGAATTGTGACCAACTTGCCAGTCAATTTAAAAATGACATACAGTAACTAGGTTTCGTATGTCCTTTATCCTTTTCTTAAAAATGTCAAGCTTTACCGCATCGTATGGAAAGACAAAATAAGTTGAACGGGAAATACCTAAATATAATTTTAAGCAATATTAAATCAATTAACAAGTGCTTGCAAGATGCACAGAACAACTTCTAACCACTAATAAACGTGTCTTGGACAGAAATGTAAATTATACATTTAACGACATCTAATACTGAAAAGCGTATTATTTAAATACTCTTTGCAGTTTTCCTTTCACTATACTCGATATTATTCTAAGATCGAATTAGTAAGAGACACGTTGTTTATTTTAGAATAAATACCTAGATACGAGCTGGCAACATGATTATTTTTGAAAGGTCATTGGCATCTGTTTATAGTTTTATAGCATACATGTCCATAAAATATAAAACCCCTCACTTAAACAACTAAATAGTTATTACAGTGAGTAGTTTAGATTAAAAATATTATTTGATCATATTTTTCTTCAACATCATCAATATCCTTTAATAGTCCACTGCTGGACATAGGCCTCTCCTTAGAAAGGTAGTTTTGGCCTACTATACCACGCTGGCCAGACGGGTTGGTATAAGGATTGTTTCAAGTTTTCCTTCTCTTAGCAGTGCTGTTGTCCTGCGTCGTTTGCTCCCTTAGTCGGCTCTTACGACACGGACGGGATGAATAGGAGTGGTGACACACCGTGTCCTTAATCCTTCACCACACGTAATTTTTATCATATACTTTTATTCATAATCACGGCAATAAGTGTGCCGCGGCATTACGTAAGTAGGACTACAATTATTACAGTTGGAGGTAGGGTATATAGATATGTATTCTCGTATTCACTTCGAATACCATCATGAGTTTGTTTGAATGTATCACATCATAATCATTTGTACTATAAACAATGGTGATTATGTTCTTTGTGCATCCTAGTTAACTATAACCTGTGACTGAATTGTGTATGTGGCTATAGACTGTTTATGAGCATTGTTATTTTATAGGTACTGAAAGATTCACAATCCACCACTTTCCGAATCAGAGATATTGGAAAATCTTGTTTTCATAAAGCTAAATGACAGTTCAGGAACTAATCTATTGGAAAAACAAATTTTATAGGTAAATAAAAATAAATGGCAGGCCAACATCACTGTGAAGAGAAGGAAAACTTACCACACACCCTATAGAAACGCGGCTTGCCAGCTTGGTATAATAGGCCAAACCTTTCTTTCTAAGAAGAATTCTATATGTAGCAGTGGAATATTAAAGGCTGTTGATGATGATGATCATAGTACCATTACTTCTATTTTAGTTAACTCTTCCAAGGTACAATGGATCTTGTTTTACTGGTTACAAGATACTACTCATTACAGTGCTATTATTATTAAAAGCCACTTTACAGTAGAATTGTTTTCTTGACAAATTACTTAGGTAATATTTAAAATTGGTAACTGTTTCTTATTATAGTTGTTGTTCTAAAAGTCTGGCCTGCCCTTGTTATCTACATACGAATCTACTTTAACATAACATTGCTTGTGTAATGTTTGCTTTCACGCTCAACGTCATCCATAAAACCAAGATGAAGAATGTCGTCGCTGCGGGCATCTCTAAAGCGAAACTTATTTGTGATTTCCGTCCTACACGTGTACTGATTACTCTGTCTGGTGAGGACAGAACCATGGCTGTTATTGACTACAAAATAGACAATGGTGTGCGTGGGTGGTCATAGCCATTGCCTAAGGCCCACAACCAGTGCTACGTCAACGTACGCTTGTGTAGCTTGTCGGGTATCAAGTGAACTCAATTCGCACACAGGCTGAGCCAGACGGCAACTACAGGCCCTCGCTCTGCTTCGCTGGTCAGTTTCGCTTCAAGTGCCGACGCATGTGCACGCTGCGCATACAATAATCTCTGGCTTGTTTACAAATAGAAGGTAGTGCAATCTTGCAGTCAACAGGATAACCGTGAAAGGTACGTTAAATATAAAATTGAGGCTAGTGTGTCATATAAAGTGTTCTTTGTAAACGAGAAGAAATTAAGTTTACGAGCTCTGTTTGATGGTGTGTAAACAAAACGTGCAATTCTAGCCAGCTTTTGTTTTTGGTATATGTGTTAGTCGTGTGGTATATTTCTAAATCTGCTTCTGTCGGTATCAATACCAAAGTGGTCAAAATGTGTCTTGAAATAAATATCAATCATTAAAACAGTAAAACTTTATCAAAATATGAATGGGTTAAAATGTGCTGTGTTGTTAAAGAAATTCGGAGTCAGGTTTCTTAGTCTCCTGAACGAACCTGGCACGTTTTGTATTACCTTACACAAGATACTAGACTTCAATAGAAGAGAACGATCGTGTGGTTTTAACTTAGTTCATTATTCAGTGCACATACATAGGTACATCAAGCAAGTTTAGCTTGTATTGGGCCGGTTCTTTTCGGGCCATAGGCAGAAAAAATGGTCCTTGCCTTACTTCGTTATATAGTATGTGTCGATCACGACTGTTGCTTTTCTACATTAAGTTTTAGTTTTACGGTTTCGTGTTATAAATTACTATTTGTTGTCTTTAAACATCCTTGACGTTATCTATCTTAAATTATATCTAAACATATATAATTAAAATTATCTCTCGATTTAATATTATTGCGGCTTTTTGTATGATAGATATGTATATAGGATAAACATTGTGCTCTTCAGTAATAAGAAACATTAATTTGCTCGGAGAATATTTTAAATGTCTTGAAAAAAAATCAGTATGGTGTCTTTTTTGTCTACATACTATTACTAGTACGACCAAAATAGCAACAACAACTTTAAATTATAAGATATTCATAAACAAATAGAAGGACCTAGCCAATAATTGCTAAATGAAGTTTGTTTAATGATCTGAAATATTTTGTTACGTAAAATGTCATTTTTCTATAACAGTGCCATGCTTGCTGTATGCAACAAGGACATAGCTCGGCACAGAAGGCCTTCGAGATATGTCTGTTTGCTATTGTGTTGTAAATTATGCACTTTTTTATACACCAATAACAACCGGCGACGCTCCATGACACGCTTTCTACGATTGGAATGGAATGAACGACGACTGCTAACTACTACAAAACACCATTTACTAAGAGAGATTCGAAACCAGTAGTATGGCCTTTATTGAGCCATTAATGTCTTTAGGTTAAGTGTGTGTGTGTGTCTAAAATATCAGAGTAAGTCAATAACTCAAATATTTTTAGGCATATCAAATTAACCGGGTCTAATTTACATATTTTTTTAATTCCATATTTGTAGATAAAGGCTATTTTAATGTTTTGTAAAAGTAGTCCACACCTTGTATAACATATTCTAATTCATTTTAATAATGACTAACTTTTGCAAGCTGGTTAAGTCGTTATAGGTTTAGTAAATAAATTCATGTATCCTACAGACTCAGTATTGTTTTTCTAGATAGATCGGTACCTTATGTATTTTTCTGAGAAGGTGTAGGTACCATATAAAGTTATATGATGATCTATTTAGTAGTTAAGCTTGAAAGCGTTGTAAACAAACAAATTCACAGTTACGATATTTACTCAATACATAGATGCATCATAACTTTACTAACGACGTTGCAAGACAAGCAATATGAAGACCACGAGACCATAAACTGGGGCCGTGACTTGCAAGAGGGTTAATGTTACAGTACACCTTCCTTATACAGCTTGTCTGTGACGACGAACGTACAGCTTTCCGGCCCTTTCAAAATGAACCACTCTTAGTCAAGTTGATTTATATTGCCGGCAAGTCGTTACCATAAACGGTCTCTTTTCTATGGAAGAAGTACTGTACTGTTTATTAGAAAACATATTTCTAGTAAATAATTTCCCATAAATGTTTTGAATATCGAATAAAATTTGCTTTGAAGAGGTGGTATGAGTATAGATCAGAAGGAACCTGTAGGCCAAATTGTATTCAACATTTCTACATTAGAACCTCAATACCACGTTTTTGCCGAAGAGAAATAATAATAAAAATACTATGCGTACGGATGGATAAAAAACTTATATTTAAGAAATGACTTGTTGATAGGGTTACCGTAACCATTTTTTACTAAACATAAAATAATTCTGAAAAATAGAAGAAGGGTTAAAACTACTTACTAACTTTTGCAAGCTCGTGTGTCGCGGGGGACTTTATAAACGTTAATGAAACGGACACAAAGTACACCCAGACTTAGGAAACTGTGAACAATAGTTCACCAACAATCATACAGGAATCGAACCCACAACAGCGCAGTAAAAAAGGAAGCGGTGAGTTGGCCGCTTAAACCACTTTGCCATCCGTGTAGTCATCAAATTCAAAAAGCACAACTGTATAGCATAGTATTTCTGCCTTCATTTGAATAAAGTACACGATAGCGGAAAATAATAAACAAGCGGTAAGGTAAATGGACATGCAGAGCTGAGATCGGTTGTATGGGCAAACAAGACTTTACAAGACTAACAATTAGCGTCTACCATACTGGCTCAGCGTGGGAGAGAGCGGTCGTGATAACACAACGTCGTAGGTCCCGCTACTCAAACAAAATAGGCGACCATCAATACTGATGGCCCATACAATACATCCCTCACAGTTAGCACTATTAATGATAGCACTTTAAAACTACAGAAATCCTAAACTGCATTATATACATAAATCAGAACATAAGCTTCTTTGTTATGAGAGGTTCAGGCATGGATATAGGGTACATTTCAATTACAAACATGTACGGGTCTTGAAGAATATCTCAATTTAATGGCAAAATCTTCTTGAAGATGATCTGAGCTGTAGTTAAAAGAAATAAACAATTTAAATAAATCAAACACGTTTAAAATTTGATTAATATTTCCAGCGCATAATTTTAATTATAATATCGTAGTTCTTCTTCGTAGTTTTGTAAATTATTATAAGTTTAAAAGAATAAGCTTGAAAAAATTGGTGATAAGCATGTCATAATATTTCTGTATGTATTTTTACATGGGTAGAAATCGAACCTGCCAACCAATTGAACGCAAGTACTACTACTTTGTCACTACGTAAACAATATCTGCTTAAATGTATGCATACTTCAGTACTATTTATCAAATATTGCTGAACACATGGTGAAGGTACGTGATTCTAGTGTTAGAGTATAATGTAGGTATGAAGTGTGACGATTTCTCTTGTTAATAACTGTAAAGTAACTTTTACACTGCAACAATGTTTTTATAGTGTCATTAAATAAAGAAAGTAGTAAACCAGCAGTAAACAAGATATGAGAAAAATGTCAGCTATACTTTATCGTAGCAGAAAGCTTCGGATATTAAGTGCAGAATATAATCTTTTTAAGTGTTAAAACCGTGATTTTAAAATATAGAGTACTAGCTATACCCTGCCATGCATTGCTGTGGCTAATTTTGGTTACAAAAAGTAGATAAAAACCATCTTTAAAGCCTGCCAAAATTCGAGTTCAATCCAACATAACAAATATATATATATATATAATCAGCTGTACAGGGCAGGCCCTATACGCTTCGCTGTGACACATTGAAATTGCATTGATAAAAAGTGAAAAGCAAAATTCACTCGAAAAATCTATAAAAACATGCCTTGTGGCGGTTTGCATGTCGTGTCAAAGATTATTTGGGTTTTCGAAGCGTACACAAACCAACTTAATATTTTGTATATTATAAAGATACATAAAATATTTGAGTGATACAAAAAGCGCCTTTTGTTTAGATTCTATTTTGTAACATTTGTATTGTTTTCGTCCGAAGCCGTTTAGAGAGCAATCAACACGCTTGTATACCATCTAGTTAAAGATACGGTTTTCAAATATTTACAAAACGTATTTGTTATATTTTATATGATTATTTAGAATTTAGTATAAGTCATAATATAGCATTCGGTCGTTTATATATTTATAACATGTATTCCGGATTAAAGCTAAAACCGTAAAAACGATGATCAGAACTATATCGAGAACATTATGGACACCGAACCGTGTAAAAACTTGGATGTTCACAGGCTGTGCGTCATCAAAATATTATTGATATATAAATAAAAATAATACCACCTTCAGGGGACAATACGGTATTCCAAAGAGAAATAATATTTCTAAGTGTTACGTGCTTTAAATTTATGATGTTTAGGAATCTACTTTATTAAACATATTACTATATCACTGATGCTCATGACGTACACATACACGCCAATGCAAGATTTCTTATTTAAGAGCTTGACTCATTAGTAAATGAAAAACTGTTATAATGAGTAACTGATAATTTAGAAGTGAGAAAGGTACTGCACTCTTCTATCTATACCTCTATGCAAAGAATATTCGTGATTTTGTGTAGGTTTTGCATCAAAAGTTGTCTTACGTAAAAGGAAGGTAATGCATGCTTCGTTTGACAGTTGATAACCTGTCAATTAATTTTATTATACAGCTACGTATAAATTATACATTGGAAATTACTAATACTGCTAAAAATTACAAATTACATTATTTTTTTGCTTTCTATTTAAGTTTTTGTAGCCTACAGATATAATTTGGATACCTCAATACTTTTACGAATAATTTTATTTATGTAGCTGAGATCAGACCACTCAGTGTACTTACAAGACTGTCAATTTATTTGTCAAATAAATATAGCTGCCCTATAAGTTATATCTTTCCAAACACGAAGCGATAGAAAGTGGCACGACTTGTTTACGGGAAACGGTGTGTAATTGGACGTAATATTGGGTCAGACCATACTAAATACATCCTTGCCTTCCTGTTTAGTCGCATGATCTTTTCACCTTCCTGTGAATTATTGTTCAATATAAAGGAAATCAGGTCTATAACGTAATTCTTCCTTTGTACAGTTTACTGCACGTTTTCCTTACTACATCCTATAATTTACCTGTAGTCAACAAGAGAAAAGACAAAGGCATTGTTATATAAGACACTTTTGGTGAACTGCAAAACTGTTGTAATT